AGTGCGATGAGCGACCGCTCGCGGATGTCGTGGGAGGGCGGGAGTCAAGGTCTCAGTGCGAGTGGAATGCAGCTGCGGTCGCGGCCTCCCACGCAGGGGTGGGGGTGGGGGTGGGGTGGGCGAACGCGGTGGTATCCCGCATCTCTCTTAATGTGTCCTGCTGTCGTTCTGCAAAATTAGTTCTATTTGGCTTTGATTGTCGGCGCACATCCATAGATGCTTAGTGACCGAGCCTTTACATTTATTTTAAATAATTACGTGTGAAAACATTGTCAACTGTAATCAAAGCTATGCCTTTTACATACGCATATTCACGATTATTCTACAATCATTGACAGTCCGAAAATAAACTAGTAGTGCTACAAAATGGCACAGACCTTCTCGTACTAGTTAGTATCTAATTTCTTTCGGCTGGCCTAACTTTTCTGTTTTGCCATATTCTTTTGCCTGCTCTCTCTAACGACGGGCAAGGTACATTTTTTGCAATTTTCTCGGTTTGCTATTATTACTTTAAGAATATTAAAGAAGAGTAAAACCTGGAGCTAAATGGCAATTTTTATTGAAAAACTCAGAGACATTTTTCAGGAAATGGCGTTTGTGTTACTGTAAATGCGAAATTAGAAGCTCTTTTTCACAGAAAATTTTTCAGTTTTCGAAAAACTTGATTGGAACTCTTTTGAAGCCCCACACATTCAATATTGTTTGCAAATGGCTGAAAATAAGCATATTAACAACATGAGAGATATTTTAAAAAAATATGTATTTGTGAATTTTTTTGAAAAAACGAAGAAATCTTCAAAATAATCTTATCAAATTAAACAGTTCAAATAGCACTATACGTTGGAAAAGTTTCAAAAAAAATTTTGGAACCCATTTTGAGTAAATGGCGTTCGAGCGTTTTTGAAAGTGCGGAAATTTGAGCTCATTCTCTCAACTGTTCAGTTTTTGAGAAACTTCATATGACATTATGTCAATCACATGAAATCATAAATACAATAATGTGAACAAATTGTCGGTAATGTAACTATTAACGATGGACGGAACAAGTCAAAAGAATACATTTTGTTATTTTTAAAATAACAAAAGAATAGAGCATTGGCGTTTATTTCATCTTACAAGGTATATTTAGCACTATCTTTAAAAAAAGTTTTAAAAAAATTCAGTTCAAAGACGAAATTAATATCCGCTTTCGAAAAAATCTAGTTTTGTTATTTTATTAAATTGCACACTCAGCACGCAATATTGCGCGAAAAGAACTAAAATTTTACAAACAATGTGCGTGAGCTTTGTGAAAAACTAGATATAGATAATAAATTTTAATTGAAGGAAAAATCTGTATCTTCAGTTTTGGGGTAGGAGTTAAATGAGGGCCAAATAATTTAATAAATAAATAATTACGGTCGTCTTTGGTATATAATTATAACAAAAAATTAATTAAATACATAATTCCCTTTTAATTAAATACCATATACGGAATAAGAGCTGTGATTTTTAACGAAAATTTCACCATGTTTCTTAAATAAAATTAAATTTATTTGGTAAGATTTTTTCGCTTTCCGTTTGAAATGTATCCCGACTAATGAGCAAATATAAATTTCTCAAACTGTTGGGTGTAGGTTGGGGGTGGAGTAAAAAACGTTAATTTTGCAATATTTTCTTAATTCGGATAATTTTACTGAAAATAATTTTTGCCATTTTTATAAGGGCTCTATAGAAAGGAATGAAAGAAAGAAAGAGCGAAAGAAAACAGAGAGAAAAAGTAAGGTGAGAAAGAATAAAGAAAAAAAGACAGAAAGAAAGAATTGGTTGAAAAGAATATTTGAGAAATCTGAGTTTTTTTAAATTACCACCAAATATTAAAAGAGCTTAGCAAATGCCAGGGGCCGTGACGTTAACCAGGTCGATTCAATAGTATCAATTTTTGATAAAATCCTGTTTACATTTATTGTTATTCACAGACATCTACGGACAGCCTCACCTTTTGAGATAAACAATCTTTCGTTATTAAGAACTCTCTATATGTAGATTTATACTACGATTTACATTACGTAAACGAGAAAGTAATTTAGTATGTATAGGCGTAAGACAAGTAAAAAAAAATTCATCGAAGTAACAAATGCTATCAAACACAATTACTCAGCGGTGGTCCTGAAAGCTGATATATAAGTTTGGCACAAGGATGTGGTCTAAAGAAATATTAGATATCCAATGAAAACCCTTTTCGTGTGTCTGTATTACCTTTTGAAATAAAGGAATTTTAATACCCCAAAAGTTATAATTGTTCCACTGAGTTTTCCAAACGGAATTGTCAATTCGTAGTCTATATTTTTGGGATAAGTCGGCATCTTTGTTTTGGGGACAAGCGAGGTCACTGCGCTAACAGTCTCCCTTCCATCGTCAACTTTTCCTCCATGGCCACGCTTATCCTTGCATATAAAAATAAGGCTCTGTTCAGTGCTAAGGTAAATAATTACGCTGCAGATCATTTGTTGTTTCAGAGGTAACTAAAGAGTAAAGCTCACGTAATATTGTATATAAAACTCAATAAGGCGATACCGACTTTTAATTTTTGTGTGCTTTTCCCTCCACAAAATAGTGTCAATTACAACAAAATTGACTGTTACATTCCTTTTAGAACCATTACGTGTATTAAAATGTATTGTTTCACGGTACCCTAGCTTATAACTAGACCTAAGAATTTTAGATACAAAAAAGTGGAAAGATAGGCACCTAAAATATATAACAAAAGTATGAAATTAGGCACTTGTAACGTTTTGGATATTTGAAATAGGTGACAATATGATTAGAACAGACATTTAAAAACATTATACATTAAAAGTTTTGTTTGTGGCGTATGGAAATGATCACACAATTATAAATTATACACTTCTTTTAATTTTTTCAGCTACGTCAAGTATTTTTACATTTTTCAGAATTACAAGCATATTATTTATTCATATTCTTTCACACTTTTCCATCTCAACCTGTCAACAGCGCAGCTGCCCCGGAAATGGGTGCAATGGCCTAAGAAGTTTTGTGCTGATCGGAGACGAGCGTGAAGCATCCTCTTTGTATTGACTTGCAGAGCTTGTTATGTTCGGTGTGTTTGGTGAGAGGTTTCGGTACGTAGTCGATTGCGTATTGGATCAGGGAATATTCACGCTTCGTGAAATTCAAGAAATTATTTGCGTTTCGGTAAAATAACTTTTAAAAGTGTATAATTAATATGAGAATTCATTAAAATTACTTGTTTGAGACAGATTTGGGCAAAAGTATTAAAATATGGATCGACCGCCCATTTAAGAGATTTTAGGCACTGTTAGATGCGTTCTGTAAAAACATTTTTTCTAGATTCGTAAACGTCTGCAATTATTGTGCATAACATCCTAAAGGAACTAAACAGAAATCCTAAAATCTATCCTAAAATCTGAGGTGTACTTATAACAGTTTTGTAACAACTGTTATCCACTTTTCAATATTATGGATTGGCATTTAGAATGTGAAAAATTTCGCATAAGAATACCTCATTGATATCTGTACATCAAATCAGCACCTTTGCATATACCAAGCAAGGTAGCGAGGTAAATATCAGTAGGCTTTTACAAGAAAGCAAAGAAATTTATTAGGTTGACTACCCTTCAATAGCTGAAGAAAAGTTAGAACTCAAATATAGTTTTCATTGATCATGTGGTAATTGATGTTTATGAAATATGTGTACTGGTGGAGTCTTTCTTTTCTTATCGCGGGTGACAGAAAATGTTTACAAAAGGAGAGCTATTTTGGTAGATGTACGAATTTTGAATATCCTCTCTCCAAATAGAATTGCACGCCAGGAAATTCTGTCCACCTTGGTCTGAGTGAGGACCTCCTACTGAAAATTCCAATGATGTGAGGAAATGGTTCACTGAAAACAAGTAAAGGGTACAACACTTCCAGCATCTGTTATGATTGAGGTTTTCTTTTATTACACGCTGCTACCAACATAATTTAGATGCGAGCACCAAGCTGCCACTGCGGAGAGAGTGTATTCCGCCTAAAGGCTAAATGTCACCCCGAGGCCGTTATGCGTGTGCGTACGCCCTTTGCGAGGAGGCGCGGGGGCGGCAGTGGGACAAGGCCCCGCCGCCCGTCACTCGCGCATTCCTTCCGCCGCCACTCGCAGCGCCATTGTTCCTTTCCGGCGCCGCCGCCGCCCACAGTAGCCGCGCGGCCGCCGCTTCCTGCCCCGCAGCCTCTTCTGCGCTGCTGCTGCTGCGCCCGCGCGCAATTAGCGCTGGGAAGAGGGGGCCGCGCGGTTTCGCAGCGGTGGGCGCGGAGGGCGTGGCGCGCGTTGGGACAGCGTTTCACGGGAAGTGGCCATCGGACCCATCTTGATGCGCGCCCTGCGCGGCCCTGCGCCGCGCGCTTTCCCGTTGCGCGCCGCCGCGCCGCCTTCTGCTCACACAGCAGTTTGCACACAGGAGCAGCTGGGAATTCTGATAACGTGCATTGTACAGCAAGAAGCGTTAAACGCTATTCGACTCCGCACTAATCCATGTGGGAGAAACTAGGTAATCTGGGATAAAGACTGCACTTCATATTGTGTATTCATCTGGCAGGTATTGGACATTTATGTAACAAAACTGACGAGTATATCCTGCGCTGATTGTCTAACAACGATTTAGTTTTGTTCTCTCTAATGTCTTTGAGAAGTGGTTTTCTGAAATACACTGAGGTTTCTTTTTGAAGGGGATTTTCAAGGAGAGAAAGAAAATCAATGCGTTTTAAGTATAAAATTGAGTATTTATTTACTGTTTTTAATATTGTGTGGTAATATTATACAAAAATATTGTTTATAAACAATATTAAACAACACATAAATATAAGTATGAATACAAATAGAATGTTAGGTTTCATCCTCACATTCTACCCGTACCAGTGCAAGCACGTCGTACTGTATATTTATGCTGCGTGACACGTGTTGCATTTCGAGAATGAAATAGCAAGGGCGTGGAGCGGGGAGCGGGGAGGGGGGCGGGGCCTAGTACCGTCGGTTGGGCTTGGCCACGGAGGGCTGCGGCGCGCTGCCGGCGCCCTCGTTCTCCTCGGGGTGCGCGGCGATGTACTCGAGGGCGCGCGCGATGGCCTCTGGGATGGGCGGCGGCGTGGGCAGGTGCGCGCCCTGCGGCTGGAAGCCGTTCTCGTCCGCCACGTAGGTCACCTCGTAGCGGTTGCCCTCGGGGTCGGTGAAGGCGAAGCGGCCCTCGGCGGTCTGCGCCTCCGCCTCGGGGTTGCCCGCGTTCTTCAGGTAGCCCTTCTCCTCCGCCTGGATCTCATTGGCGGTCTCGTAGCTGCAACACGGAGCATTCGCTCATTCCCTGGATACGGCAGCAGATACATTAGGCATCAGACCCGTTAGAACAGAGAACGTTTCCCCCCTGCAAAGTGGCCGTGTGACTCTCCACTGGAACACGACATCCAGCACCGACCTAGGGGTTCCCCCCTCCACTTCCAGACTGGCCGCTCGACATGTGTGCGGTAGTGCAGAGCACGTGTGTGTATTACTGAGTAAGGGGAGAATAGGACAAGGACGAGCAGGGAAAGACCATGGGCGGTCCTTGGCCCGCTTGTTAGGTACTACTCCTGCCTTGGGCTGATACTGAACGGAGAATCCACTAAAAATGCCGAGCGTAGAAGCCAACCGCTAGAATTCTTCTCCAGAGAGTAGCTGAATCCGGCCTAGATAGTGTCGAAATTCCGCCATATTTTGGACTGAAACCCTAGGACCTACGATCAAAGACGCAGGGAGAGACAACAGTCACACTGGCTATGACCTAACCTAGCCGGTAAGACGCGAAAATGGAGAAGTAATCAGAATTGTTATCGTGACGTTATTATGAAGTTATCATGATTTTACTTTACGAACTAAGGATTTACTGTACGGTACTCTTATATAGGATAACAAATAAAATATTAAGTAATTGAATCGTAGTGGCTGAAAATAAATAAAGCTATTCTCAGATGTTTGCTTTGTGGCATTTTCTAACAAGTGTTCAGATTTCATTGCTGACTGCGACGCTGCTTGAAAAGAGTGAAATCACGGATTGAACATTTGTACGGAAATACAATGCTTTTACAAAAGAACTGCGGTACTCTTTGAAAAAGAGAGACACGTTCCCTTGCCCCCTCGTGCACCCGGCCATTTCAAAGCGCGAGGGGTCTTGCCCTGCTGAGCAGAGGC